ACGATTCAAAGGCGTCAACGGTACTACAACTTGTGTCTCGTTCTGGATGAAAGCCCAACTAACTTTAGAAAATGGCTCCGAACTCTTAACTACCTTTGCCGTTGTGGATGATGTCCCCTCTACCTTGTTAATTCTTGGCCTTCCCTTCCTGATTGCTTCGGCAGCTACATGTAATTTCAAACGACTGTCCTTTGTGAACCGCGACGGTTTTGCCCGCCTCTACCAGCAACCTGCCAGCACCGACCTGCCGCTTAACTACTCAATTTCACTCCCTGATGATCCCTCCATAACCGAAGCACTGCAACACGTTACCGACTTGACTGCCCGAGGCGCCGTCGCCGAACTACTCTACAAGTACTCCACTCTCTGGAAAGACCGCAAGCGCGGCGTCGTCTCTACTATCAAACACGAAATTCTTCTAACCACTACAAGGCCGATTGTCAGTCGCCCACGTGTTCGTACCCCGGAACAAGACAAGACAATTGATTCGGAGATCCAGAAAATGCTCACTGACGATGTAATTCGACCATCTCTCAGTCCCTACGCGTCCGAAATTGTTATGGTGTTGAAGAAGACCGGTGATTGGCGAATGTGTATCGACTTCCGTCCCCTGAACAGGGCTACCATCGACGATAAGTACCCTCTCCCCAAACTATCCGAGATGATCCGCTCGATTAAAGATTCTAGATATTTCATTGCACTCGACTTACGCAGCGGTTACTGGCAAATTCCAATGTCCGAATCCTCCATTGAATACACCGCATTTCGCACCGCCACTGGACTGTACGAATTCAAGGTAATGCCGTTTGGTCTTAAGAACGCCCCAGCCACTTTCCAACGAAGTATGAATTTCCTACTCGACGACCTTCGCTACTCCGGTGTTCTTGTGTACCTGGACGACATACTCATCCACTCCCCGGACATCCCGACCCTACTCAAACTGACGGACAAAGTGTTCCACCGCCTACTCAACGCCGGCTACACCATCAACCTACAGAAGTGTCAGTTCCTTCCGCCAACTCTACTATACCTTGGCCACATTATTGAAG